TTATTATTTTTAGTATCATTTTTTTTTATCAAATTCAAGACTCTAACTCAATATTTTGATATTTGAAAATCAATCTCAGCATCAATCAAACTAAATAAATATTAATAAATTTTAATATTATTTAGTGATTTATCATATCACTTAAGTAACGCAATATTTAGTAATATGATATATAAAGATAAAAATTAAAAAATAATATATAAAAAAAATTATTTGTATATTTTTTTAAGTGATTGATATTTATTTAATTAATAAAAATTATTTTTATGTTTTTATAATTCTTTTATTTCTAAGTCTCATGTATTAAATGTCACATCATTTAGACATAAATAAAAAACTCAATAATTAATAAATATCAATTTTATGAAAGGAAAAAATTTTCATATTTTTAAACTAGAGATATCAAAATTAAAAATTAATAAAAATAAAGAGATTAAAATATAATATAATCTAGTAAAATATTTAATCTCCATATGAAATCTCTTTCTTTTAACTCTCTACCTCTCAAATCACTAAAAACAAACAAATGAAAAATAGTCAAGTATTTATATCCAAATATGGGAATACAGAACGAACATGAGTCAGTATCAGGGGTTTTTAATTTTTATATTCTCATGTAAACGAGTGCTTCCGAGTACGACCAATTTGTTTTGAACAATGATTAATGTTCCAAAAAATTTTACCAATCCTTCTACGAATCATCATGAACCGTCGATTTTCCCTGTACACTTGCTAAAACAAAATATCTTAATTGGCAAAATATTAAATTCGTAAAAATTCGTATTAACCAATTCGCACCAAATCGTTATATTACCATCACATGGAAGAATATTCCTATTCCAATTACCTTGAGTAAATGCTTACCTACTTAGTGACAATTGATTCGATCTATTTCTTTCATTTTAATTATTCATTAGTTAATAAATCACTATTTGTTACAAAAAGAATAATACTACATGAAGGACATGTACAATACAAGGATCACCTGGGGTTTCTATCAAAATTATTTACTTTTTCTTTTCTAATATGTTAATATTAATAACTAATAAAATAGATACAATTGTATGAATTATTAAGATTGACTTAGTATCGCATGATCTAAGTAATATACTCATAAACATGGTTTTAAATTCAAACTATATTATTGGTATTATAATTTTGATGAATAAAAAAATATATCTATATTCATATAATTTGTGCTATTTTTTTTTTACAAAATAATATATATAAGAAGAGATTCGTTTACTCTAAGAATAAGTCTACATAGTCTTACTTTGTTCAATAACTCATGTTTTACATTAAATTCAACTGTTGAATTTAAAGTTTTTAATGTATAAATCAAGTTTGCAAATTTTTAAAAATTTTGAAGACCATTTGATATTTCCTTTCATTAATTGGGCCGTTCTCAAGATGGAACGGGCCGTTCCGGGCTATTAAATATGCCATTAACCCTAAATGGGAACATGCTTGGAACGGGGCGTTCCCAAAATTATGGCCGTTGGGTGTAATTAATGCACACCAGAACGGGCCGTTCTGGTTTTGGAACGGGCCGTTCTGGATGTGATTTTTAGCCATGGTTTAAGGGTCCAGAACGGGCCGTTCCGGATTTGGAACGGGCCGTTTCGACGCAGAATGCCTATATATAGAGCTGTTTGCCACTCCCAAAAAGCACACCTCTTCTAATTTTTTTTCTTCTGCTCTCTCTCTTCTTTCCTCTACTTTCTGCTTCAGACCGAGGGGAACCCAGCGAGGGAGATCAACCAGATCTAGTGTAGATTCAACTTCTACATATATAGATTCAGCTTCTTCTTATCCAGGTATGGGGGAAAAGAGAATTATTTATATGTAGAGTTACATGAGGAAATTGGGTAGAGGAAGAACCCTAATTTTATAATTATTTCTGTTTGAAGAATTATTGGTCTTATTTGATTATGTATGTATTTAGGAACATGGATATATGATTAATTGGTAAAAATGATGCTCTGGGAGAGAAAACGAAATTATAGAAAAGTGCCTGTAAGTTAGGTTGTGAAAAGTTGGATGATTTCTGTTTGAGGAATGAATGATCCCATTAGATTTTGTATGTGATGAGGGTTATATATATGTCAATAATTTGTAAGAATGATGATTTGGGAGAGAGAACGAAATTATAGAAAAGTGTCTGTAAGCTAAGTTTTGGAAAAATTAGAATATTTCTGTTTGAGAAATTAATGATCCCATTAGATTCTGTGTGTGTTGAGGATTAGAAATACATATTTAATTTGTAAGAATGATGACCTGAGAGGAAGAACGAAACTGTAGAAAAGTGCTTGTGAGTTAGGTTTTGGAATAATTGGGAATTTTATCGTTTATGTTAAGATTGTATTAAAATTGATTATTATATTAATTTATGAATATTATTGCTATATTACTTGATAAAAATTGATGACTTAGATGTGAATTGCTTGAGATGTGCGTATGGAATTGAATTATCAGATGCTGTGTGGAATGTGAATGAGATTGTATTAAAATTGATTATTATATTAATTTATTAAAATTGATGACTTAGGCTATATATATAAATGTTTTCTTTTCTCACCGTGCGATTTGTGGATATTTTAGGTGAGGAAGATCTGGCTACGAGTGGTATCTAGAATGCCAACAGTTGAATTGTCGAGATGCTCTGATATTGTGACATCGGGGCAAAGAATTTTTTAGAACATAGGTTTTTATTGTAAATGTTATTTTTGAAAATAAATATTGAGTTTAATTTTTGTTATTGTGGTTATTGAAGGATAATTTTTAAGATTCTCATGTGAACCCTTTTACCGAAATTAAAAAATTTATTTATAAGTTTTTATTATTACAATATATATGTTGGGGTAGTAAGGGTGTCACAATTTGTAACATTGAATGTTTCAAGTCTTATTAATTAATTGTATGTTATATATGATTAATTATTGAATTATTGTATTTATTAATGTTTTAGAATTCTAAGGGTCAAATGATCCTTGATAGTTAAGTTATTGTTGAGGTAGTTTTAATTATTGTCAAGTTGACTAAGTCTAGGGAAGGATATATAAAATTTTCTTAAAATGTGAACTTCATCAGTTCATATCTTCAAAAAAACTTAGAGTAGAGAATTTAGAGAGAGGCTTTGAAACTTCATAAATATTATTTTTTCTCCTTTTGACTTCATAGTACCCTTTTGGATCCTTCCTTGAGTTGAGTAGTAGAGATGGATCGGAGATTCAAGCTTTAGGAACTAAAAATCTCAAGTTAAGAGTCCTATAGAGACCCCGAGGGCTCAATTTTCTTCCCTCTTCCCTTGATTTTTGAGCGATTTGAGGTAAGGGAAGTTTGTGATTGATTATTGTTGAATTGTAATGCTTAATGGTTGTTTGAATTCATCAAATGTTGGCTATTTTGATTAAATTAAGATGATATGTTGAGTTGCTTAAGTGTTTGGTTCTTGAAGGTGTTTTTAGAGAATTTGATGATTCTTGTAAATCTATGGTTGCATGTTGTATTTTGTGTTGGTTTTAATTTGTTTATGGTGTATGTATTTTGAATCCTAGATTACATGTTGGTTTAGCTAAGTGGTTTTGTAGGTTTGATCTAATTTGAGGGTTCTACTAAGCGTGAAAATCCTCATTGTGTCAGGCACGCCTCATAGCATTGGACGTGGTTCAAGTTAAGGGCTTTTTGCCTTGATCACACCAGGTGTGAGATTGGTAGTGTCAAACGTGGGTTAGTGAGGAACTATTTGACTTAGTTACGTTAGGAATGGAACGAGAGGCGTCAAGCATGCTTGCTTGGGGAGCTCTCTAACTTGATGGTGTCGAGAGTAGGTTGAGAGGCGTCGGACATGATTAAGTCAGTAGCTCTTTGTCTAGATGATGCTAGGCGTAGGTTTTTGGTGCCAAGCGTGAGTCAAGAAGAAACCCTCTACCTAAATTTGGTCAGGAGTGGTTTTAGCCATGGTATATGTGATTGATACAGGGACTCTCTACCTTATCCACATCGAGTGTAAGTAGTTTAGTGTTGGGCATGGGCGAGTTAGAGGCTCTCTGCCTTAGTGACGCCAAACGTTAGGAGATTGGCACCGGACATGAGTTATTGAATGAGAAACTTGTTGATATTTGAGTAAGTGTTGAGAATAATTGTAATATATGGGTTAGTCACATGATGTATGATATTGTATGATTATAACTCATTATGCATTGATCTAAGATGATGTATAATGATATTTTAAGTTGATAAGTTGTAAGTTAATAATTGATTGGAGTTACAAGGTGTATGTGGCTTATAATTGATTAAGTTGTTAAGTTGTTTAGACATGAAGTGATGTGATACATGCCTCAGTTGAGATACATAAAAACTAAAGAAGAGTAAAGTTGTTTTAAAAATTAAAATATCTCGTTGATGGGATATAAATTGTGGTGCTTAGAGGCCAAAGTTGAAAAGCCTTTAGTGAGTAGTTGACTCCTAAATGAGAGTATTTTTAAGTTGTCCTTCTAGGTTTTATGTAGAACTGTATGAGACCAGGTCGAATCATGCGTATATGAAGTGACTAATTGAGTAAGATATAAAATTAAAGGATAAAATCCTTAATTGTAAAAAAATATATTTTATTTTCAATTTTAGCAACCTATTAGCTTGTGTCTCTAATAAGGGGGACAAATCAATATTTCTTATTCACTTTCAGCAAGTGAATTAGTCTGTCTCGCCACATTTTGGGTGAATTGCTGGTGGAATGGGTCAAAGCACACCAAATTAACCCATTTTTTAACTTCCAAAAAAAAAGATTCAGTAATTAGTTTAAGTTATTTCATGTTGTACATAAAGTTATTACATAAAGAAATGTAAAGTTTTTATATATAGTTTCGTTCATGTCCTCCTATATAAAAGGAGAGATCAAATTATTTAGACATAACTTATAACAAATATTATACTTATTCAATAACTTTCAATAAGTGCCTTTATTTATTTATATATGTATATATTTTTATAATTATATTTTTTTTCCTTCCAAGTTCCAACCCTCTGCTATTTGTTACCGCTCAACTTAATGGTAAAATCAAACAAAGAAATTTATGTTGTACACAAAAAATCAAGTGCATATCCAAACACGGTGAATAATTACATTGTATCTACAAATAATAACCTTGGAAAATTATTTAGCATAAATTATTGAACTCTTGAATCATTCCATTTGATTTCACCCACATAAACTACCACTGTGACGACCTGTTCTATATATACTCATTGTTCCATTTCTAGAATTCCTGTAAAGCATGAAGGTTTTCATTCGTCCTAGATAGTGCGAACATTATATATCATCAAAAAGGATCTCAAGTGACTTGGTTTTTCTGTTCCTCCGAACTCTTCCTGTTTCCTTCAACAACATGTCCAACCTTCTCTTCTCATCAGCAACATCAGGATTTGCTGTCCCAAGCTTTTCCTCCCTTATTTCAATAATGTTTTCCAGAATGTCAATTGCCTCATCCACCCTATACAATATCAAAGTGCATGAGCAAATCAAATAACTTTCACACATAACTATTGCTTAAAGTGATCTAATCTAATCTATTCTAATTTAAAACACAAAACTAATGGAGCAATTAATTCCATATTAACTCTCGCTTGTTTGGGTAGAACTAGACCCAAAGAAAATAGAAAGGAGAAGGATAATTAGATAAGACATAAATATAATATTAATTTTTCATCATTTGTTTAAGTGGAAAGATAGGAAAGGCAAAAGTTATAAATGTAGGATGCACAAAAAAAAAATTACCTGTCAAATTGAAATGGGAGAAAATGATTTTTTTCCTTGCTTTAAATTTTAAAGTTTTTTTTTATAAATTTTTTTAATAATATTTAATTAAAAAATTACTTTTTTAATTATGATAAAAATATTCTTTTACACACTTCATTTATTTCTTTCTACTCTCTTCATTCACCCAAACAAGTGCTTCACTTTCTAGTTAATGAATGCAACACTGGTTCATATTGAAATAAGCTTTTTAAAATTAAAAAAAAAAAAATAGAGCAAATTGAAAACCTTGCTTGTTCAAATCGAAATAAGGTTTTCAAATGAAGAGGGTATAACCAAAAAAAGGAAAGAAACATAGTGGGTGGATACCTTCCAATTGCATCATACGTGCCAGCAAGATTGCCATATACTCCGAGTGTTTCAGGATGATAGGGTCCATTCTCTTGTTCCAAAACGACCCTGGCTTCTTCAAATAATTCTGCAGCCTCACTTAAGGCATGAAGCTGCACACAAGCAAGTCCCATTTGATTAAGAACATTACCAAAGAAAGCTGTTTTCTTCTCTCCAGTAGCACGAATCTTTGACACAGCGTTCTTGAAAGCATAGTAAGATTCACTATACTTCTCCAACATGTAGTACATGACCCCCATCTGGGCTTCAATTCCTGCTATTGTGTTTTGCTGACCAGGTGCATCATCATGTATCTCAAGTGCCTTGTGTAGTAACTTAATTGCCTGTTCTAGATCATTCATAGACTCATAGATTGCTGAGATATTCATAAAACCACTAGCAATCTCCTCTGTAGGGACCCCAGGCATGGGATTCTCATAGATTTTAAGTGCATTCTCACAATATAATTTTGATTCCTTTATCTTCCATGTTCTAGAATGCAAGTCAGCCAAACGTACAAAGACTAGTCCCACAGCAGGATGGTTCTCACCTTTGTTGGTCTTGAAAACTTTCAATGCTTTTTGATATGCAAAGATGGCATCATCATATCTAGCCAAGGATGAGTATGTGTCTCCAATGTTGCAGTCAACTGATGCCACTTCCACATCTTGGCCATTTGCTACCATTGCCATGCTGGCCAAAACAAAATGCTCCAAAGCTGCTTCATAGTTTCCATTTGCTTCACATATGAGGCCCATTAGCCTCCTGTCAGCTGCCTCTTCAAGAGATGAGGGTGAACCATTTGCTCTATGAATGTCAAGGGCAATTTGGCACAACCTCTCTGCCTCATCAAATTGCAATGCTTGAAAGTTAGCTTCAGCCACATACCTACAAATTTCACCAACTCTTGGGTCTGTATCTCCCAAAACTTGTTTTTGTACTTCCAACCCTGCAGTGTAGCACTTGATTGACTTCTCAAGCTGGCCTAGCATAGCATAGATGTCTCCTAGTTGCATGTGTCCGGCAAATTTAGCAATGGCATGTTGTTGGCCTTCCTCGATAACAGGAATCTCAATTGAGCGCTCTATAATTGGAATTGCTTCATTGAAATGGCCCAAAGTGCAATATATTGTTGCAGTAACATGCAAACACATGACCAACTCCAAACTTGGTTTCTTCCCATAAGCTGCCCTCTCAAACAATTTCTTTGCCTGAAGAGCTAACTCAAGGGCTTTCTGTGAATTATCTCCTGATGAAATCATGTTCCTTGCTTGGTTTAGTAAGGCTTGTCCCAGCTCAGGATTATTCAATGCTGATTCACTGGAAAACTCAATATTACCTTGCGACAGTGATCTTCTACCATCAGTTTTTTTCACGCGGGCAATTCCTGTATTTTGTTTTCTCAAAATATTGTCATTCTTCCTATCAATAGGAGGTTTTACAGGAGTGGCTTTTCCCTTTGTTCTTGATTTTGGTGGTGTTTCAGGGGCTAACTTTGGTATTTTTGAAACGAAACTACTTGCAGTTGGTGACCGAATCTCATTCACCTTATTCAACTTCTTATCATTGGGTGAACTACCCATTGTGGAAGATGTTTCACCACTAGAATCCCTTTGTGCCTTTTCCTTCGCCCCCTCTTTCACTATCTCAACCTCTCTCATATGTCCTCCAACTACATGGTGCAAGTCCGAATCAGTTCTAAACTCATTACCATCGGATCCAAAACTTTGTCTTGAGGATGATTGAGGAGAATTTTGCATGTCACTTACATTTTCATCAAGCCGATCAATTAAGCAAGTGTCAACCACCCTATCAGCAGGTAAATTTGGATCAACACTTTGGTGTCTTTGTGGACTCAAGGAACTCCTTTGGCATTTGATTGGTGTTGAGGTTTCCTTCAAGGGTGAAGTGTTCCCAATCCCATTAATTTCATTTACATCCTTTTGATCATTAATAACTCCATTTGTAACAATCCCTGGCATATTTGATTCCCTGGGAACCGGAATCACTGGGACAACAAATATGAAACAGAAATCACACAACATAAACAATAGTCAACAACCCTTCATCACGTAACAAGAAAACGAAAATTAATAAGCATCCGTTATAATTAACCATAAGCCATGCAAAGCAATAAGAATGCACGTGAAACCTAGTCAAAGAGAAAGGAAATCCTATTGACAATATTAGAGAGATGTTGATGGAAATAGAATGGTTATTTTTCGATTAGCAACAACGACGCAAGATGAGATCAAAGCACATACATGCATAAAACTGGTGCCATAGTTTTGCCTTTCTCCATTTCCCTGTTAATGAGAACAATGACCGGATTTCCATTCCACAATTCAAATAATTTTTTTCAATACATAACCAAGCTGTACACGTAATAATATTATAAAAACACAAAATCCATAATCAAGGATGTAACGAAAAAGAAAAAGAGAATTGATTCACGCGTGCATGGAAGTTATACCTTATACGAAGCGGAGAAGAAAATGGATTTGAGTTTTGGGGTGACAATTAACTATTAAGGATTAAAGAAACAAAAGAAAGGTTTTGGTTTTGGTTTTGCGAAGTTGGAATGGAATGATAGAACCCAAACCAACCGCGCGGGACCGGTAACTGCCGTTCTTCCTTGTCTTTGTTTTTCTTTCTTTCTTCTTCTTCCTTAAACCACCCTCAGAATGCCACGTGGCATGGGGCATAAGGACGATTCTGCCCCTCAGAAACTGGTGCAATACCAAATTTGGTAACTGGACGGAACAGCGTCTCCCGCGCATTTACCAGAAAAAGAAAACGAGCAATTTAATTAACAAGCTAGATCTGGCATAAATATATATATATATATATATATATATATATTTTTTTTTTGTATTTTATAAGATATTTATTATTTGTATAATTAAAATAAAAACTTATGATTGTATTGTAGTAACATATTTTATTGTATTTTTCTTATGATTACAATATCAGTTCACGTGTGAAAATTAAATGCTACAATAGTAGCTAGGGTTGTTGAATTCCTTCATAACCAAAATATAAGAGCATCGTTTACAAAGATAGGTGGTAACTGAGTTTAAAAGTCTACACTATTGCAAGATTAATTGAAGCATTGTCCAGTAATTATGTCAGTATAGAGAACAAGAATCCTCTCATTTTTGGCAATGATCAAGATAAAGCAAATTAGTTCTCATTTGGTGACAATATCTTTGTATATATTTCTAAGAAAAACACACGTCCAAGAAACAGTGTCCCACTTCCAGTGTACATGTTAGTGACAGATGAAGAACATTTAATTATTACTACTATTAATCAGCACAGTCCCACCCAACCCTTTTCTATATATAGTGTCTCCTCTTGTGTTATATCGTTCATGGTTCGTCGGTGCCTTGAAAATGTGATACTTGTTTCATAAAGCTCCAAATTTCTTCATTCATTATTTATTATTTGCTGGATTCATGGGATATTTTCCCTCGACGATTATGATTCGTTGTTAGAAAATCCTCCTCCAAACAAAGAAACGTATAGTCAAATTTGATACTGAATGAATTTTCAAGATATTTTTCTTGCCTTATAATTACTGGGATATGACCTTATGAGCTTCTTGATGGTTGCTATGCAGGTCTTCCTATTTTCTATAAAATGGGATTAGATTGAACGTGAGTGTATAATCGTGGAAGTTATAAAGGGTTTATGATAAAGCATCTCCGAAAACAATTCTATATATAAAAAAATTAATAAAAAAAACACTTCTATATGAAAAAAAAAGGAAAAAAGATTTTTTTTTCACAAGTTAAAACTAGTTACTCATAAGCTAATTTAAAAATAATTTTAAAAATAAGATTTTTGAGAAGTTAATAGAAAAAGAACTTGTTAATTCATACATAAATAAATTTTATTTTATGGATAAATTTATTTTCTTTTTATTTATTTATTTATTTATTTTTTTAATCTTAAAAGCACTACTTTTGAAGAAGTTTACTTGAACATGTTCAAAATAAAAGTACATAGCGTTGTTTTTTAAAAAAATGTTAGAAGTTAGTTTGATCCTTTTTAATTATGGGATTTTAGCAAAATAAACACTTCAAATTTTAATTTATGTAACACTTTTAATCTCTAAATTAAGATAATTATCTTGAATTTTTTATGGGCTATTTTTGAAAAGCTGACTATATCCAATTGGAACATTTTTAAGGTTTTTTTTTAACCTCTTATCCTTTTCAATTTATCTTTTTTTAGTTTTAAATCAAAATTTAATATTTTAGAAAAATCAATAATTAAAAATAACTTTGTATTATAATATACATTATTTATTATAAATTTAAAAACATAATTTTATCTTGTAGTTTTAAAAATATTTATTTATTTCAAATATTAACATTTACTATTTATATACTAGTATTATATAAGGAGTATACCAATGTTTGTATCCTCTTTTTTATCTATACTTTTTTTTACACTATTATACTCTTATAATTTCTTTAAATCAACCATTCTTCAATTACAAATCACTTAATACTATGTAACTTTTATCATATTTATTTTATTTTTAAATAAATATGTTGAAATACAAAATTAGTAATTTTTCTAGTTATAATATTATTTAAGTATTTTTTTTGTTATAAATTATAACTATATAAAATACTAGTTCATTTATATATTTTTTGAAAATATAAGTCTGCGGGTTGGAGATTCTGATGTTTAAATAAGATACTATAGTAAAAAAGATAGGGAAAACCTTTAAATACTTCTCAAGAGTAATTCAAAGCTGTGGGATATAAAGTTAACACAAAATGCAACGAAAACTCAAAAGAGTAAATATGACAGCTGTGGGATTTGAACCCACGCCCTTTCGGACCAGAGCCTAAATCTGGCGCCTTAGACCACTCGGCCAAACTGTCTTGTTGTTTAGATTTCCACAATATTGATATTTATTATGTAAATTTTAACAAAATATCACTGTTTATGTTATTTAATTATTATCAACACATATTTAACTGAAATAGACCCCTGAGGAACTACACCATCAATTTAATATATATAATTAACAGAGTATTTTATTTATACGACAATTACTCTCACTTGTTTTTTAAACAATGTACTCAACTATTTGTTTTCCATGTCACCATTGCCTTTCGGTTTCTGAAAGCAAAAATGCAAAAGTTTACAATATAGATTAAAAAATATCATTGATTAAAGATATATTTATTTAACACTTTTTGAAGTCGTCAAAGCTGGTTTACATATTTAATAGTATTACATAATTGTATAAAATTTAAAAGAAACCTGCAATTTAAAGTCATTACTTATAATTAATATTTAAGGAAATATATAATTAAGTTAATAGATAAAAACCCTTAAAAAAAGGTAATAGATAAAATGATAGAGTAATTTGTATTGATTTATTAATATAAAATAAATTAGTAATTAAATCATATTTATTTATTATTTATTATTAAATAAAATTAATACGTTGAATAAAATAAGTTCTCAAACGTTTTGAGTAAATTTATATTTCATAATATAAAACATATTTTCAAATCCTATTTAAAATATCAAGAACTCTATAATTAATAACAAAAAATTACTATTCAATTTTTTTAATTAAATTATACTTTTAGTCTTTTATTTTATTTTTTAGATTTATTTTGATCTTTTATCATGTTCATTTTTCTTCTTTATTTTTTTATATTTGGATTAATCTAATTTTTTTAAAAATGATCATTTTCAATTATCAATATTATTATTTTTTTACTAATTCAAGACGTAAAACATGTAATATTATATTCACCTATATAAAAAATCATAAAATTCAATTGATATTTGAAAAATATATTCAATAAATAATTAAAAAATAGTATAAAATTATATTTTAAAAAAAATTTATTTTCACCATATATATCACACTTTTGATTTGAACTCTAAATTCATTTAATAATTTTCATAAAAGTGAATTTAATGAGAATAATTTCATGTCTTGAGTTATAAAAAGAGTTAAAAAGACTAAATTGACTTAAATTTAGAAGATAAAAAATTAAAATAAATATTTTAAAAAATAAATGATCAAAATGAATTAAAAAATAAGATAAGTATAATTTAGTTTTTTTGTTATATTTATCTTTATTTTTTATAATTATTTTAAAACCGTCTCAACAATTATATCAGTTTATAAAATTAAAAACAATCATAGAAAAATAAAATTACAAAAAGGAACTGCATTTGAAGGGAAAATTTTCACTTCCCAATTTATTAATTATTATAAAGATAAAGATCACATGTTGCGAATTGCGATGCAAAAAGTAAACAAAAAGAGTGCCTTACGTGGAATAGATGGAAAATAAGTAGAAGAAAATGGAAGTATTGAATGGCAAAGCTAAAGTTCTTTTCTAAAATAATATTATGCAAGATGGGATTATACTTATTAATTAAACATATTTTTGGTTCTCGAGATTGATTTAATACAATTCATATGAGATTATTGCAAAAGAGAATCCTAAGCTTTGCATGAAGCATCTTTATTGACAGTATTACATTTTGGTAAGCATATGAAAATTATATTATTAGAACGTGGTTTGTAAGCAGAGAAAAAATCTGGATCCTGCTCAAGTGCTTCGGTATAGTTCTCGAAAATTGAGACTATCTCATCAAAATGTGGCCGTTTCTGTGGATTGCTTGACCAGCATCTGTTGTTGATGAGATTACTAAATGCCCTTGGACAGTTACATGGTAACGGAGGCCTTGCATTCTGCACAAAATCAAAATCCACCACATTGATCAGTTACTAGAAAAAAACTCAAAAATATGTGCACACAATTATTTAGTATTTTATACAGCCACTTGTTGCAACATGTGCAAAAACTCTGAACGTGTCGTGAAATGTTATATATCTTGGTTCAAATATATGTGTAGTTGAATCTGTAACTTGATTTTGGTACATCGTAATGATATGATGTTGTGTGCATGTGGGAAGAAAGGTAGAGTTGGTAGCAATGATTGATTTTGGTGAATATGGATAGCAAGATACCGAATCTTGAATGTTGTAAAAAGCTGAAGAATCATCTGGATGTCAGGCAAAACTATATGATAAACATATGTTAGGAACAATGGCAATAAAGGAGAGAAGAGAGAAATAAACAATACTAAGAAGTATTTGTTTTGGTGCATTTGTAAACCTTACATAAGCTTCCTTATATAACAAAAGTGAGGCACACCATCTCACAATACTAAGCAATGTGGGACTAACATAGTGAGGAACACCATCTCACAATACTAAGCAATGTGGGACTAAGAAAAAACACACTACAAAACTTAATCAAACTACACAAAAATAACAATTCTCCCACTTGGAGTTTGATTACCACATAGTGTAATTGCCTTCATCATCAGTTATTCTTGAAGGCCAATTGAGGTACTGCAAAGCCTCAATTTTTCTGTTGTGACAACCTTTGTCAACATATCCGCTGGGTTCTTACTTCCTAGTATCTTCCTCAACGTTAGTACTTCATCCTCAAGCAGAGATCTGATAAAGTGATAACGGAGATCAATATGCTTCGTTCTGGAGTGAAATGTTGAATTCTTAGCCAGATGTATTGCACTTTGACTGTCACTATGCAAAACACTCCTTTCCTG